CAGCAAATTCAGTGTATCAATCAAACCTATTGTCTGGCCTCCTGTGTAGAAAAATAATTGGTTGTATTATTCTTTTGCATCGAATAGAGGTGGTCTCTGCTAAAAGGGCTGATCTTCTGAGCCTGGGGTGGTGGAAAGAGAAAGATTTGAGGCAACAAAGAAATTGGGTTCTTGTGGCTGTCACTAACTTCGTGTGATTTAGGGGGCAAATATTTGCCGCCTTCAGATATTTGAAATGCTGTCACTGGGGTTAGAGATCAGACTTTCTCTGCTTAGTCTGAGGAAAAAACTTAGGGCACTGGGTAGAAGTTGAATAGAGCCAAATTCCAGTTTAATGTAAGGAGGAATTTCCCAGTATTTGAGTCTTTTAAAATCAGAATGAGTTGTTTTGTTAGATAGTGAGTTTCTAATTCTTGGTGCTTTCCAGACAGAAGCTGGCTCAACACTTGTCCAGGCGTCTAGAGTGGGAAATCATACTTTAGTCATAGGTTGATTAGATGGCTTCCAGTCCTTTCCAACATTGAGGTTCAGTTCAGTACAACACTGAAGAAGTATCTTTATGTGTAAGGCCCTGTGCTTACATTAAATTAAATAAGATAAAATATGTGAATCACTTAGTACAGTGCTTGGCACAGAGTAATACATATTTGTTCTTCCTCTCCCCTTCTCTTCTTTGTGCTAAATGACAATGGGGAAGACGAAAAGGTAGCTTTGACATAGACCTTGCTCTCAAGCAGCTAACAAGTTTATGGGGAGGTGATATACGCAAATCACCATAACTCACAGAAGAATGAAATAAGTGCAGAAAGGGTATCCAGACAAAATATCAGGAGAAATCTGGGGAAAAAATTGCTTTCCCCTGTTGAATGGGGAAAGGGTAGGATGTCAGTGTATCATTAAAAGGTGGCATCTGAATTGGGCTTGAAGGGAGGATAGAACCTCAATAAATGGGATATAACATGAACAAAAGCATGGAGGTTAGACTAGTTGGCCAAATATAATGATTGTGTTTATTAGGAATAGATAGGAAGCCCTACACTTCGTATCAAAAATAATTTCATATGTTTCAGAGGGGAAAGCATGGCTAGATAAGAGTTGATGAGAAAAAGATCTGGGAGTTTTATTGGACAGCTAGCTCCACGTGGGTCAACAATGTGATATGGTGATCAAAAACTGAATGTGACCCCAGGCTTCATTAAGAGGGACTTAATGTCCAGAATGAGGAAGGAGAGAAGCCTGTTGTACTCTGCCTTGGCCAAACCACATCCGGAGGGCTGTGTTCATTCTGGGTATCATGATTTCGTGAAGGCGTTGGCAAGACAGGATCCATAGGAGAACAACCAGGATTCTGGAGGGCCTTGAAATCATGCCGTTGGAGACTGTTTAAAGCAACTGGGATATTTCTCCTGAAAGAGAAAAAATCAGGACTGACATAACTGTGCTCAAGTATTGAAAGGGCTTTCAAGTGGAAGCATTAGATTTGCTCTGCTTGGCCTGAAAGGCCTAACAAGGAACAATGGATGGATGTTGCAGAGAAGCAGATTTAGGCTCAATGAAAAGAAAGTCTTCCTAGTAATTTTCAGGGTGTTCCAGACCTGTGATTTCATCCATATGAGAACACGTCTGTATGGAAATTCCCTCCACCAATTCAGCCCGTCAGTTAACAAGCGTTTGTGAAGTGCTCACGTGTGTGCCAGCCACTGGGAATACAAAGAAAAGCAAAGAAACAAAACCAGCTCTGCCCTCAAGGAGCCTTCATCCTAATGGGAAGACAACGTGTACATAACTAGGTACAAACAAGGTACATGCAGAGTAGATGATGGCAGTCCCAAAGGCATAGACGTGAGCCGCTGAGAGAACTAGAAGAAACCTGTAGAAGGTGGTATTTGAGCGGAGTCATGAAAGAAGCCAGGAGAAGTAACAGGTGGCTGTGAGCGGGGTCAGCATTCTAGCCCTGTAGAACAGCCAGTGCAAAGGAAAGGAGATGGCAGATGGAGAGTTCTGCTCAAGGAACTTCATGTAGGTCTCTGTCTGAATTGTAGAGTGAGTGGAGAGAAGGAAGCAAGGCAAAAAAAGGCTAGCAAGGTAGGAAGAGGACCAGGTGGTGAAGAGCTTTAAACGCCAGACAGAGGAGTTTCTGTTTTATACTGAAGGTAGTAACAGGGAGTCACTAGAGCTCATTGAGTAGGGGTGTGAGTGTGGAGTGACGTGGTCAGAGAGACAAGTTAGAAGGCTATTGCCATAGTCCACACAAGAGAGAATGAAGGCCTAGACTGGAACTTAGCTGTGTAAGTGGAGAGAAGGAGATTATACATACACCCACACCCACACCCACACCCACGCATATACATATATACATATATATATATATATATATATATATATATACACATATATATATATATATATACACATATATATATACACATATATACACACATATATATATATATATATATATATACACACACACACACACACACACACACACATACACACACACACATACACGAGATATTGTGAAGGTAGAAACAAGATTTGGCAATCAATTAGCGATGTGGGGTTAGTGAAAGGAGTCAAGTATGACATTAAGTTTGTAAGCCTGAGTTGTATTAGGAGGATGGTGGTGTTCTTGACAGTAGTAGAAGAGTTCAGAAGTGAGGAGGATTTGGATGGAAAGATATTGAGTTCTCTCTGGGACAATGTGAGTTTGAGATGCTTAGGAGACATCCAATCTGAAATGCCCGAGAGGCAGTTGGGGATGTATCACTATAGCTCAGCAGAGGTTAGGGCTGGATATGTAGATCTGGGGGTCATTTGAATAATTGAACCTGAGGGAATTGAAGAGAACACTATAGAGGTAGTATAAAGTGGAAAGATATGGTCCAGGAGGGAGCTTTGGGAAATACTCATGGTTTTAGGACATGACATGAATGAAGAGGAATGCAAAGGAAAGTGAGAAATACTCTGACAAATTAGAAGTCTTAGGGAGTTGAATAAGGCACTGGAGGTTAAGTAACTTACTCATGGACACATAACTAGTATGCTATTTAGGGCTTAAATCCGGGTCTTTGTGACTGTCCCTATGTCTACTATACCATGCTGCCTTTCCCTGGTGATTGAAACTATTTAAAGGGAGTTGGGTTTCTTTGGATGGTGTCAAGTTCCCCCAGCTGACTTAAGAAAGGCCTAATAACTGTTTGTTGGGAAGTCATAGAAGAGATTCTTGGTCCTATGTGGTTTAAACGAGGTGGCCTCTAATTCTGAGAGACCATGATTATGTATGTATGTATTTGTATGTATTTGGAAGGCAGCTGGAGGGAAGTAGGGGTAGATTGTCCTGTGTGGTTCTAGGTAGCAGAATTAGAAGCAATAGGTAGAAGTTTCGCAGACAGATTTCAGATGAATATAAGGAAAAACTTAATCATTAAAGCTGTGGTATGGAGGAGAGAGCTGTTGTCAGCAGGGTTTCCAAGCTCTGCCTTGTACCAGCCTCTGTTCTTTCCTCCTTCCTGGCCATGCTAAGGATGGCCATACTTATCAGCACTGATTTTCCACTAGAAAGGAATCCGCGTTAAGGATGAGAGTTTCTGTTTTGATTTGTCTTAGAAAAGTCGTTGCTATGGTGGCGAGCCCATCTTCAAAGACTCCTGTTCACACTTCGTTCCACATGTCTGACTGTTTATATTCCATGTGTTAATGGGTGAGCAGTTAAGGAATAAGGAGAAAGGTGGGGAGGATATGTGTGTGTGTGTGTGTGTGTATGTATGTGAGAGAAAAAAGAGAGGGAGACAGAGAGTTTGTGTGTGTGTGTGTGTGTGTGTGTGTGTGTGTGTGTGTGTATGAGAGAGAGAAAGAGGGAGAGGGAGAAAGAGAGGGAGAGAGAGAGAGTTTGTGTTTGTGTGTGTGTATGAGAGAGAGAAAGAGGGAGACAGGGAGATAGAGGGAGAGAGAGAGTGTGTGTGTGTGTGTGTGCATGTGTGTGGGGGGGGAGAGGGAGAGAGGAGGGGGAGAGAGAGAGAGAGAGAGAGAGAGAGAGAGAGAGAGAGAGAGAGAGAGAGAGAGAGAGAGAGGAGAGAGCACAACAACATGAGGGAGAGCTGGAGGACAAGAGGAGGATGTTCCAAGCCATCATTTTCCTCAGCTGGGTTTGCTGAGGGTTTGCTGGACTGTCCAGTCCCCTTCTGGGACTGGGGATAGGAGTGGTTGGCATGTAGGGCTTGATTGCCCAAGTGCATCCTGGAAGGAAGACAGGTGGTGACAGAGAGCCAGCAACAGACTGACAACAGCCACAAAATTATATTTCACAGTAAGTATATCCAAGAAATAAATATCCTTTTCAAGATTCCTTTTGTTTTTGGCAGGTATCTGACAAGTTTGATTTCAGGAAATGTGCTGTCTCTGCATTTATATGTTAAAGTAGGATCTTGTCACTGTCTTCACATCTAACTAGTTGTGTAACTTTGGGTGTCAGTTCCGCTCTCTGGGCCTCAGTTTCCTTCTCTGAAAAAATGAGGAAGTAGGACTCAGTCATTAGCTCTTCACCTTTTTAATATGTGTCATAGGCACCTCTGGCACTCTGGTGAAGCCCATGAATTCTTTCTCAGAATAGTGTTTTTAAATGCACAAAATAAAATATATAGGCATACAAAGGAAAGCAATGATATTGAAATATATTTATCATACAGTTGTATTTTTTTAAAACAAATTCATGGACTCTAGGTTAAGAACCCCTCTTAACATATGATCATGAAGGTCTGTGGTTTGTTTCAAGGGCCTCTGAGATCTGTTGTTTGTTACTATTTGTTTCGGAGGGGCATGGCCATTGATGAGGGATGCTGTAATGTGAAATTGTTGCCTGAGTTAGGCATTGGGTAATAGCTGAGCTTTCTTCGAGCGTGAGGATTCTATGATCTAGGTTCTATCATTTTGTGTGTTTATATCCCTTCCATTCTAGAACATGGACTGTTAGGGGTGAAAGGAATCTAAACAAACCCTTTTATTTTACAGATGAGGAAATGGAGGCTCAGAGAAGGGGCAGGAACTCACTTGGCAAGTAAGTGGAAGAATGGGACTAGAAACTGATGCTGCTGACTTCTAGACCAGGAGCTCTTTCTCACAGACTGTTTCCATTTCCTAGCTTGTAGGGTCACACCCCCAGATTGTTGGAGAGCAAAGACCAGTAGCCCATGGAGCAGACAGGTGAGTTAAAGATTTTGCAAAATCTAGTCCTTGTCTCCCTGCTGCAGCAAGATGGCAAGCTTCTCTCACCCCCAGCCATCTCTGTTTCCATTTCCCTGGCATAAACAGGGACCTTATAGTTACATTAGATTCTGTAATTACCTGAGTCTACAATTCATTCACTGAGTCATTAGCATAGCACTTAGAGAAGCCTGATGACGATAATTAGATGCATTATAATATTCTCTTGGAGTTGCTCAGCTTGCTGTGCAAATACACAGCAAGGCTATTAGGAGGAAATAATTAGAATTTATTACACATGGCCCTGCCCTCATTCTCTCTTCCTAAATTCACCCCCTCCCTGTCACCCCCCACCACGAGAGATCACAATAGGATGCTTAGCATAAGATGTTTTAATTACTAAAATACAAGCTGGGTCAATTAGTATAATAGAATGTTACAGCTAAAAGAGACCTTAGAATGCAGAATGTAGAATGTCAGAGCTGCAAGGGACCTTAGAAAAGGGGCCGTGTGAGGAAGTGGAAGAAATACAGAAGACCTGGGTTCCAAGCCTAGCTGTTCTACTTATTACAGCTATGATGTCAGGCAGGTCAATTCCCATCTGGACCTCAGTTATCTTCTTCGTAAAATGAAGGGATTCGATGAAGTTATTTCAATGGTCCTTTCTAACTCTAGTTTTTATGTCAATTTTCATTCTATAGGATATAGAACTTTCATGCTAACAAATGGAAGACGGAACATATAGTGTTAGACATGGAATTAACCATAGAATTTAGAGCTGGGAAAAACCTTAGAGTAAAGAACATAGAATGTCAGCATTGGGTGGAACTTTATATCATATGATTTTATGCTAAAAAGGACCTTAGAATGTTGAGCATAGAATACTAAAGCTAAAGATTACTTTAGTAGTTGGACATGGTGGCACACACCTGTAATCCCAGCTACTAAAGGAGGACGAGGCTGGTGGATTGCTTGAGTTAGGTGGTTCTGAGCTGGCTTTTTGTATCCATGATAAGTCCTACACCAATATGATAAGCCCCATAAACAGGGACTACCAGACTGGCTAAGGAAAAATGAAATGGACCAGGTCAGAAATGGAGCTGATCAAAGTTTCTGTGCAGATGTGCTGCGGGGTCAGGCATGTTAAGTGACAAATGTACTTCCAGCCTGTGCAAAACAGGGAGACCCAGTCTCAAAACAAAACAAACAAATAAATAAAAGGAACCATAGTAAATAGTAGATAGAATTGTCAGGCTTGGAACGTAGAACATGGAATTTTAGAAGTAGAAAGTACCTTAAAACAAAAATCGATGAATATTGGAGCACAGAATGTAAAAGTTGTAAATGACTTTGTCATACATATATAAGAAATGTCCTACCCGCCACAATCCTAAGTAATGTAACTAATTACATACTCTATGCCCCTGATACCTCTATTGAATGAGAATGCTGCTTTGATTGAATCACATCAATTCATTAAAGGTATAAAGTAGGCATTAGTAAGTCCTTAAATTGGGAAGAGTGAAGTGTTTCAGGTCATTGAATGAAATAAAGTGATGTTGCACACAAGATGTGTTGGGATTGACTTAAAGAATTAGACACATCTCAGGCTATGTGTGTGTATATATACATGTATGTAATATGTGTGTATATGTACATATACATATATGCATATATATGTATGTATGTGAAGGGATTTGAGCAAAAAGTAATCAAACTTTAGAAGCACTTTGAAGAGGTAGACTTCTCTCATCAAATGTGTTGGGGGGTTAGGGGCATTAGAGGGACTGTTATACTCACCTCTTTTCCCTGGGACCACAGTAGTCCTTTGTGAACTTCTAAAGGTCAAAAGATTTGAACTTTCATGTGGGTTGGTAGGAGTGTTCCCTTGGCAGCAACGACTCATGTCAGTAATTTGCCTTGTGAGCTAAGGGACATGCTAAGGACATACTAGATAGACAGGGAAAGACATCTTCAGGGCTCTAAAAAAGGCACCCATCCTAGGAGTTCAATAGAAAGCTATATCTGAAGGGAACTTCATAAGGCTCCATAAAGGGAGCAAAGGGCTTCCATTCAGTAACTCAATGCTGGGAGTTTAGCCTTTAGCCACATGAGTTCTGTAAGCTTGAGCCCTCTTAGCTTGAGCCCACTTCCCCCAGATGGTATGTATTTGTGGGAGGGTGTGTCCCCAGTTTGGGGCAATTATTGTTACTAGCCACCTATTCTCACTATACTACCTTAGCAAATAGCCATTTTAAAGCTAATTAACTCTGGATAATTAATAACTGGGGCATCGAGGTGGTGCAGTGGTTCGAGTGCCAGTCCTGGAGTCAGGAAGATCTGAAATCAAATCTGAACTCAGACACTTACTAGCTATGTGACACTGAGCAAGTCACTTAACACCTGTTTGCCTCAGTTCCTCAGCTGTAAAATGGGGACACATTGGAGAAGGAAATGGCAAATGATTCTAGTATCTTTGCCAAGAAAACCCCATAGACAAAGTCCGTGAAGTTGGACACATCTGAACAACAACAACAAAAATTGATAATCAGTTGGGGGTGGTTGGAAGTTTATTAGTGACACAACTCCACAACTGAAACTAGGTAGCGTTACCTTTAAAATCTGGGAGGGGAGAAGTAGTAACCACTTTCTAGAGACTTGACCTGCCAGTGGCAATAGGAGAGTGAGCCTGGTTGTTAGGCTTACTGTGGGGGCTTTATCTAGGATAAATTTTGGGCCTTTTTCATTTGAGGGAACACAGTACAGAGATTTTCTACCCAAGACTGTTATTCTTGGACAGCCAAGAATTTGGAATCCAGCAACAAAACATTCACGTTCCTGTTCTTCTTGTTCTTCTTGTTCTTGTTCTTGTTCTTGTTCTTGTTCTTGTTCTTGTTCTTGTTCTTGTTCTTGTTCTTGTTCTTGTTCTTCTTGTTCTTGTTCTTGTTCTTCTTGTTCTTCTTGTTCTTGTTCTTCTTCTTCTTCTTCTTCTTCTTCTTCTTCTTCTTCTTCTTCTCCTTCTCCTCCTCCTCCTCCTTCTTCTTCTCCTCCTCCTTCTTCTCCTCCTTCTTCTCCTCCTTCTTCTTCTCCTTCTTCTTCTTCTTCCCCTTCATCTTCTCCTTCTTCTCCTTTTTCTTCTCCTTCTTCTTCTCCTTCTCCTTCTCCTCCTCCTCCTCCTCCTCCTCCTTCTTCTTCTCCTCCTTCTTCTCCTCCTTCTTCTCCTTCTTCTCCTCCTTCTTCTTCTCCTCCTCCTTCTTCTTCTCCTTCTTCTTCTCCTTCTTCTTCTTCTTCCCCTTCATCTTCTCCTTCTTCTCCTTTTTCTTCTCCTTCTTCTTCTCCTTCTCCTTCTCCTCCTCCTCCTCCTCCTCCTCCTTCTTCTTCTCCTCCTTCTTCTCCTCCTTCTCCTTCTTCTTCTTCTCTTCTTCTTCTTCTTCTTCTTCTTCTTCTTCTTCTTCTTCTTCTTCTTCTTCTTCTTCTCCTTCATCTTCTCCTTCTTCTCCTTTTTCTTCTCCTCCTCCTCCTCCTCCTTCTCCTCCTCCTTCTCCTTCCCCTTCTTCTTCTTGTTCTTCTTCTTCTTGTTCTTTTTTGTTTAAGACTATAGCTGTTGTATGGTCAGTTTTTCAGCATGTTTCCTTATGATTCAAATGAGTTTCTTTGTCTTAAGTGTTGCTTGTTTTAAAGCTCAAGTATTAATATCTGTAGTATTGTTGTAGTCATTTATATCAAGACCACCCAACTTCTCAGTCACATATTGCAGCTACTAGGAACAGAAAGAATTTCGCATTACAGATTTTTGCATCCCTAAAATGCTGATGATTGCCTACATAACATTATAATTGTTCATAAAAGTTCTCTGCTACCTTTGAGAACTTCGTAAAATGATGCTTGTTAAGTTGTATCACTACATATTTGGGAGTAGGCTAGAATGTTAATTTCTGTATGTATGCCACATAGAGTTTTCCCAAGAGTCTTTAGCACAAGGTACTGGGCCATAAGGTACAAGCTCATTAGGGTAAGCTAGCCAAGATTTGGTACTATGGACTTTGCCAGGCTCACTCCAGTTGATTTGCTGAGGACAGAAGATTGTAAACTCTGGGGTATACAATGTAGAATGAAAGTGGGGTGTGTCTCATACCTCCCAACCTTAATTAAATTAGCAAGATGCTCTATGTTCTGATACCTTTGTCAGATAAGAATGCCTCTTTGGCTACAGAATCAGTCAATCAAAAATGTAATCTAGGTGTGAGCGAATCCTCAAAAAATTGGGGAGAAATGTAGTGCATTAAGCTTTTGGATGAAATCAGGAAATTATTGGGATTGGTTGAAAGAATTGGACACCCCTGCTACCTCAGATGTGCATAGAGAGTGTATCCCAGACTTTTTTTTTGAGGGAAGGTTTTTTAGCAATCGTTCCTGCTATACTACCTTAGGGATTCAGACAGGATGAAGCCAAGTTTCAGGAGCACCTTGAGGAGGCAGGTTCCTTGCACTTGTACCAAAGAGCTTGGAGAGGGGATTGGCAGCGAGCCCAGAGGGACTATTACATTCACTTTCTCTGCCCCCAGGCCCCTCTCTTGAAGACCAGAGGACACCTTTGTGAACTTTGAAAGGTCAGAAGACGTAGCCTTCCTTGTGTGTTGGTAGCAGTGTCTCTTGAAGATTAATGTCTCAGGCCAATTTCTGAATTGGGATGTGTGGGTCACACCAAGGACAGACTAGACCCACCAAGGAAAGACAACTTTGAGACTCTGCAAGGGCACTGACCCGGGATGTCCAGCAGATTTAAGGGGAACTTAATGGGGACTTCTGTGAAGGGGGAACAAGGACTCCAATCTGATAAGAAGCTGGAAGAGACTCCTTTGCCACATGAGCCCGCTAGACTTGGGGCTACTTCCTCCTTGGACTCTATACATGTGCTTTCTGATCTCGAGCCCAATCTCCCCTGCTACCTCAGATGTGCATAGAGAGTGTATCCCAGACTTTTTTTTTTGAGGGAAGGTTTTTTAGCAATCGTTCCTGCTATACTACCTTAGCAAACATCACTTTGTGGAAGCTAATTGATATCAACCGGTTGGTCAATTTTGGGGAGCACACAGGATGGGTGCTTATACGCAACAGTACTGAAAAACCAATGCTAACCTCTCAGAGTCCCTAGAGCATTGAGAAGGAAAGTATTCAGCTGCCCTTTGGGGGCCCAAGATGCCAGTGCTAGTGGGAATTGGAAGAGTGAGTCTAGAAGGGATGTGTGTGTATATGTATGTTTATGTATGTGTGTATGTATACATGTATACATTGATACAAAGGTTCTCTATGGAGTCATACTTCTAAGAAAGCTATAGCTTTTAACCTTTCCTGAACCCCCATTACTCCAGGTGACCATACCTTTAATAATCAGACAGTAGCCTATGTATATGTACACATATATACACATGTGTGTATATATACACATGTGTGTACACACATATTATGTTATATATGTATACATTCACATTGTGTATGTGCACTTATCTATATGCATACACATGCATGCACAAAGTAATGTATTTGCATATATACATGTGTGTATATTTATGTATATATATGCACATGTATGGACACTATACACATGTAGATGCATATATGTGCATTGTGACATTCAAGATTGATTTTTAATTCTATTTTGGTTAAAACAATCAAGCTAGATTTAATATTCCCTCTTTACCCTTATAAGTTTTTTCATTTAATCTCAGGTCACCTGGGTCATGATTTTAGCCCTGGGTCTTGTATCTCCCTCCCTTCTCTTTTGACGTGTACCCTTACTCTAGTAACTTCACCCCTCACCCACATTCCAGAGAAACTTGCTTAACCTCAAGGTCAAGCCAATGCAATCCAAGCTGTTGTGTCAACTCCCAAATTCCCTGCATCCCGTATCTTGTTTGTGGCTCGGGGGGGGGGGGGGTTTCAGATAGGGAGGTCCAAATGTTACAACATCAAGCTCATGTGAAAGATGTTTACTTTCTAGCCAATCGGAAGACACACTGATGCTGCTCAAGATTTTGCTCTGTAATCTTGTCGATCTCTGTAAGAGGCCTTAGCCCTCATTCGAGGTCCTTGGTCATTGAGAGTCCATTGATCCCATTTATTGGCAGTTGCTAGCCTTACTAATAAATGGATCATCCTCAGAATTTTGTTTCTCAGAATTACTCTCATGACAGTATTAAACATGTATATGCGCATGTACATATACATACATCACCTCTGGACTCACTCTAGACAAAATATTAGATCTAGGGAGAACCTTGGAATCTTAGGAGGTATCTAATTCAATTCTCTAATTTTCAGATGAGAAAAATGGAGTCAACATATGAAATGATATGAAAAATTAGGTGTATTAGGAAGATTTATATATAAACTAATGCAGAACGAAGTAAACAGTATTAACAAAATAATGTTGCGTATTAACCACAATAATGTAAATAAAAACAAAAGTAAAATATGTCAGAATTCTGATCAATGCCATAGTCAGTTTTGATTTCAGAGTACTGTCAATGAGGCATGCCCCCTTCCTCCTATCAGAAAGGTGCTGGACTATAGAGGCAGAGCAAAGTTTATGCTGTCAGCTATGCCCAGTGTATTGGTTTGTTTTATTTGATTCTTGCTATAAGGGAGTTTATGTAGGGGTTAAGGTGGGTGATATTGTTGAGAAGTGACAATAATAAAAATATTTATATTTTTAAAGTAATAAAGAAAATGAAACCGAGAGAGGTAAAACGAATTTGTTTTCCATCATGCAGAGAATCAGCAGGCAGCTGAAAGTTTAAGATTGGACCTAGAAAAGAAATGTTGGTGGTGTTGATCTAGAATGGAGATGTGTCTTGGTTAAAGTGACAGATGAAGTTGTGAGATTTGTTGGGATCTCCGAGAAGCTAGTCTATGTATGGAAACGTGGAAGGCTGAGGAGGGGACCTTGGGAAAACATTTCAGGGACATATGGCGAGAAGAGGAGATAACAAATGAAAAAAAGAAAAGACAATCAGAAGTGAGGAGAGAGCCAGAAGAAAGAAATGTCAGAGAAGGGAAAGAGAATCCAGAAAGAAATGGGGGAGCCAGTAGAATCAAAGTGTGCAGGAAAGGCAAGGGTGAGGTCTGAAAAAAAAAAGTTACCAAATTAAGCTATCAAAGGTCATTAGTGACTTTCCTGAATGAGTGAGAAAATGAATAAATGAGAAAGTGTGAGTGTATTTCTTATTTATCCTATATATGGCATGTTTGTATGTGTTTTGTTTACATGTCTTCTCCGTTAGATTGTAAGCTTCTGAGGGCAAGGACTGGTTTTTGGCTTTTTGTATCCCCAGTGCTTAGCATAGTGCCTGGCATGTAATAGGTGCTTAATACATATTTATTGATCGAGCGAATAAATGAGAATGAATAAGTGAATGAATGAATGATTGTATGAATGAACATTACTTCTTCTTCCCTGAGATTCTTTCATCTTTGTTGATATATGTATCTATTCCCATTTTTCCTCTACTCAATTTAAAAAACAAAAAGCAAAAAACAAATTTTCTTCTATATTTATTTGTTCATTAGTTAAACAGTATGGAAACTTTCAGGGGAGAAAATCATATGGAAACTCTCCCCATGGTGCTCGAGAGAGAAGGCGCATTGACGTGTTTGCTTGATGCATTTATTTATGCTAGAATTGAAAGCCTCTGTGAGCACATTTTTCTTTGATGTCTACACAGGGCTTTTGCCACATGCCCGAGTAGGTCAAAACGAAGAGAAATGGGCTGCACATCACTCTGGGATCCCCTCTCCCTGCAGTGAAGAATTGTCACACCCTGGGAAATCTGAATTGTAGGTGCTCAGAGCAGGAAGGAACCTCCCAGGTTATCTAGTTCCAACCCAAATCTAAAGCCAAATCCTCCTAGATAGAGACGTATGTCATTGACAGACTCTAAAGGTCAGAAGAACAAAGAAATTAACACTTGTATGTCTTCTTTTACATTAGGTCCTGCATATTTCCATTGAAGTCCTGCTCTAATTCCTCCCTATGTTGTAGGGATGACCTTAGACTCTCAAAGACTGTGCCAATGGAATGAAAACACTGTCAAGTTGTACCGTGCTGGAAAGGCATGCATTGGCCCAGGTGTCTGCATGTTTTCTAAGGTACAACTAAGTGTGGAGACGCTCGTCACCTCAAGGGCAACCATCTAGGATGGACTTTGCAAGTCATAGCACCTCATGGAAACATTTACTGGGGCGTAAAGGGGCTGTGACCTGTGTTGGTGGAAGCGTAGGTTGCTTTCAAAGAATGGTAGATCTCTGGGGTGTTGAAATTGAAATAAGATCTTTTCCCTGTCCACTTGGCATGCCTGTTTGTAGATTTTGTAGACCTATGCAAATGTAAGTTAGTAGTAGCAGCAATAGCAGGGGCTAAATTAAACTTTTTCGGTTCAGTTACTTCCTATTGTAGCACCCTCTCTGGACTACTTGGCACTCACAGACATGTGTGTTTGGGCCCTGGGGGACAATTGCTCACAGCTTCCAAAGGTTCTCTGTGGATTTGCACTCCTGAAGCTATAGCTATTAACCTTTCTGTCTTCACTGCCCCCCCCACCAGGTGACAATATCTTTAATAACTATTAAGTAGAAACAATTGGCTCAAAACCCTAGACATTTACTAAGATGAAATGTAAGGATAGTAGCTACGAAACATTCTCTTAGAACAGGGGTATGCTTGCATACAAATACTCCTAACATTTGTGAGAAAATTGGTTATATACAGTGCACTGGTAGTGAGGGACACTCGTACAGATAATAATAACAATAATAATAATAATAAAATCTATATAGCACTTTAAGATTTGCAAAGCACTTTGTAAATATCTCATTTATCTTATTATTTCATCTATATTATACAAATATCATCTCATATTAACCTACAACAACCCTGGGAGGGAGGTGCTATTATTAGCCCCATTTTACAGATGAGGAAATTGAGGCTGAGAGAGGTTAAGTGACTTGCTCAGGGTCACATAGCTAGTAAGTATCTGAAGCTGGATTTGAACTCAGGTCTTCTGGATTCTTGGTTCAATGTTTTATCAACAGTGCCAGCTAGTTGTCTAGCACTTGGGACTAAGGCGACTCATGCCTTCAGTATTGCAAGGTCCCCATGTCCTTTCTTATTTCATGGTATCTTTATGCTATGCCCGTCTGGGCACAGTCACTCAGCTGTGTTCCCTGGGTCTGCCCCTCTCTGCAACTCAACTCAACTTCCAGGACAAGTTCTCTTTTAAATAAAAATTGAACTCTCTTCTTTGCTGCCAGAGGCTTTGTTCCTTGAAGCTACTTCCTGCCTTCAAGTACACTGCTTTTCTATGTCCGTCTGGAGGATATGTATCCCTGCTCCCTGTCTTGAACTGTTCAATGCTCTGAACTATATGACTGCCGGATGGGCATGTAACTTTATTGCAGTATGCCATGGCCAGGAAGAGGGAGAAGAGGAAATATCCCTGTCTCTGCGATCCTCTGGCAGAGGTGCGGGAGTCCCAGCTCCAGCTCTGCTCCCCAACTAGAATTCCTAGCACTGTTCTCTCCAGGGCTTCACAGGCTTACTTTATAAAAGACCTCCAGGGGCGGGGTCAATTTTCACCCCACCAATGACCAGTTTCCCTTCCAATTCAATCAGAGTGAAGGGATAACAGGGTATCATTGTATTTCACTAGCATATCAATACTACCTGGTTCTATTGGCCATGCATAGCTAGGTGGTGCAGTGGATAGAGAGCAAGGCCTAGAGTCAGGAAGACCTGAATTCAGATCTGACCTCAGACACTTAATAGCTGCATGACCCCGGGCAGGTCACTTAACCTCTCTCAGCCTCAGTTTCCTCATCTGTACAAAGAGCTGGAAAGGGAAGTGGCAAGCCAATCCAGTATTTTTGCCAAGAAAACCCCAAAAAGGGTCACACAGAGTGGGACACAACTGGGAAAAAAAATCAGTAACTCTATCTGCTGTCTGCCCGTTACCTTCTGTGATCAGCACTTGGCACGGTGCCTGGCATATAGTAGGCACTTAACAAATGTTTATTGATTAATTGATCCATCAATTAGGTGACAGGTAGGGTAAGGAGGGCACGATATCCTCACTCTTTACCGTCCCTCCTTTTTTTTTTTTTTAAGTGACTTGCCCAGAGTCTCACAGCCAGTGAGTGTTATGTGTCTGAGGCCGCATTTGAACTCAGGTCCTCCTGACTTCAGGACCAGTGCTCTATCCACTGTGCCACCTAGCTGCCCCCTACCCTCCCTTTCTTCCCCTTACCTGTCACTCTCTGCCTAAACTATAAAGAATTGAGATAATTTGGTATTGGGAAAAGAGCAATGAATTGGGAGTCAGAAGAGCTGGGTTCAAATTCCAGGTCTGCATCTCATTACCTGTGTGACTGTGAGCAAGTCACTCTCCCTTAGTTTCCCCATCTGTAAAATGGAGGATTTTGACTCGACTGCTTCTAAATTCCTTTCAGCTCTAAATCGCATGAAACTTACTAGAACGATGTCAGTGTTTCACTCAGTTATTATTGGTGCACTCCTGGGAGATGCAGAAATGTGTCTCTGCCTAAAGCATTAGGATGTTAGTGCATTCTTTTCTATCTGGCATTACTCTGACATTTCAAAAAAAATACATGTGATTTCATCAGCGTACGGGTTCCCTCCACTGAGACAAACAGTAGCCCCCTCTTCTAATAACCACCGATCCCATTTCTAGAGCAAAACACTTTCTTCCTAATATCCCTGAGAAGGAGATGATACAATTATTCTTATCTCTATTTTACATGTCAGTAAACTGAGCACTAGAGCTGGAAGAGGGTCAGGACCTTTGGTTTCGTCAGGATGGGAAAATCAGTCCCTAGAAGGAAATTCCCCCTGCCAAGGCTGAGCAGTATCTGTTTGGCCACTTAGAGTCTTGGGAAGCTGCCAGGAAGCATGGAGATGCTAAATGACTTGTCCGTGGTTATATATCCCATGATGCTCACAGCTGACCTTGAACTGAGCTCTTCCTGACTTGGAAGCTAGTTCTCGGTCCATTGCCTCAGAAACTGGAAAGGTGGATTTACTTGGGGCCATGCAGTTGACAAAAGTGAGAGCTGAGAGTTTTCTCTGTTGCCCTTTGACTCTTGAGTTAGTGCTCCTTCCCTCGTGCCATTCTGTCTCTAATAGAAGACTGCTTTGTGACAATACCTTGATGGGGAGACAGGGAAGCTATAGCCTAATAGCAGTTTATTGTTTAAGGGCCTACACCACCTGATAACCACCCAAAGATCTCAGGACCCAGATTCATGAAGGTATTGACCATTTAAGATACTGGAAGAAGCAGCATGGCCGCAATGTTGATTCTATCCAATTAGAAGAAGTATGCAAATATAAATGTTCTGCCACCAAAAGAACTCTTCTCCGTTGTTACTGACCATGTGCTGCCCTCTCTTTAGTTTCACAATGAGGAAACTGAGTTAAATGATTTGCACAAGTCACACAGCTAGTAAATATCTGAGGCTGAATTTGAACTTAGGTCTTCTGGCCTCTAGGCCTGTCACTCTATCCACTGCACCATCTAGCTGCCCTCTTTCTACCTACCCATACTACTAAACATATCATTTAATTGAAGGGTCTAACAAACCAAATTTTAAAAAAGATCTCCCATGGCAGCCTAAGCAATTTACTTCCCAGATGACACCAGATCTTTTCCTGATTCTGCAGCTGCGAGGGTCCTCTCCACCAAAATCACCTTTTATCTATTTTCTATCTCTAGATGCACTCGTGGTCTTTCTGATGGAATGCAAGGCCCTTGAGGGCAAGGACTGTTTGACTTTGGTTTTTGTATCCTGTGTATTAGGCACTTAATAAATGTTTGTCAGTTGTTTGTTTGATTGATTGAGATATGAAGCCCTTGCCCAGGGAAACTTCGGAACTCAGTGAGATGCTATGTTCTATATACTACGAAGAATAGGTTAGGAGTCAGAAGACCTGGTTTCCAACTCTAACTCTCCTACTTACTATTAGTGTGACTTTGAATAAGTCACCTCTCTGAGCCATGATTTCTCTCTCTTTCTTTCTTTCTTTCTTTCTTTCTTTCTTTCTTTCTTTCTTTCTTTCTCTCTCTCTCTCTTTCTCTCTCTCTCTCTCTCTCTCTCTCTTCTCTCTCTCTCTCTCTCTCTCTCTCTCTCTTCCTTTCTTTCTTCCTTTCTTTCTTTCCTTTTCTTTGTCTATAAAATGAGGGCATTGGAATAGATTATCTCTGTAGTTGCTTTGTTGTTATTATTCAGTCATGTCTGACTCTTTGTGATGCCATTTGGAGTTTTCTTGGCAAAGATGCCAATTCCTTCTCCAGCTTATTTCACAGATGAGGAAACCGAAGCAAACAAATTTAAGTGACTTGCCCAGGGTCACACAGCTAGTAAGTGCCCGAGGCCAGATTTGAACTTGGGAAGATGTTTTCTGTGCACCATGGCACCACCTAGTGGTCCTCATGGTTGCTTACGATATGTTATGATGGGGAAAATAGTAGATTTGGAATCATAAGAGCTCCAGACCCAATCGATGCCCCCGCTCTTCCACTAACTAGCTGTGGTGACCCCAGGAAAGGGAAGAGGAGAAAGGGAAGAGAAGGAATAAATGCATTTACATAGCACCTGCCTTGCGTCAGGGCAGCTAGGTGACATAGTAGATAGAATGCCTAGCCCTGGAATGAGGAACATTGGAGTTCAAATCCAGCCTCAGATACTTTCTAGCTGTGTGACCCTGGGCAAGTCAATTCACCCTGTTTGCCTCAGTTTCCTGATATGTAAAATGAGCTGGAGAAGGAAATAGCAAACTACTGTAGTATTTTTGCCAAGAAAATCCCAAATGGGGTCATGAAGAGTTAGACTCAACTAACTGAGGGGAAGAAAAAAGTACTATATGTCAGGAACTGACACTTTTTCCCCCCTAAACAAATATTATCTTCTTTGGTCCTCACAATAATCCTGGAAGGGAAGTATCTTATTATCCCCATCTTACACATGAGGAAACTGAGGAAAAAATAGAGGTTAAGTGGCTTCCCCAGTCTCACACAGCTCATGTCTGAGACTGGATTTGAACTCAGGTCTTCCTGTCTCCAGGCCCAGCATTCTATCAACTGCTCTGAAGTCATTTAATTTCTCTGGGCTTTGCATCTCTCATTCGTAAAAACAAATAAATAAATAAATGAACAGAAAGGGAGGAGGTGGACTAAATGATCTCTAAGGTCCCTCCCCTTACTCAAAAGAGCAAGAGGATATTCTTCAAA